TATTTTTTTTTCCAATTTGGTAACGAATTTAGATGTAATGATCAGGGAAATATTGTTTATTTTATTGTTCTTCATAACATATTTGTTTTTCGGAATTTTTTGAGGTTCTTTTTTTTTTTTTTTTTTTTCCTGCGCGGAATTGAACTCCTCGTTCGGTCCCGTTCATTGAACGCGTGCATTTTGTCAATTTCTGAATGGAAAACCCGTGTTCAATGAACTCGCAGTTTCATAGGAGTCCAATGCGACGGGCACCACGTCTGAAGATAGGAATTCAAAGTCTCGAACGCTTGCGGTTTCCATAGCTTCAGGTCAACCGGTTCGCACAGATCGAGGACTAAAGTGTGGCTCTTTGTGGCAGCCACCGCTTCCTTCAGCTCTGCACTCCTGATGTCCGCCTCCAAAGGGTCGTTGCCGAACGGTGCGATGGATGTCACGTCCCCCGTGTCTTTCCATTTTATGTGCACAATGCCTTCGGCAAGTGCGATCTCCCGACTCTTTAGTCTGCTCCCAGTCAACACGGAGAGAACTTGTTTCTCCATTCGACGGTCAACTTTTTGTGGCCGGCCAACTTTTCTGTCGCCTCGATCGAGTGGTCATCGTCGCAACCCATGCACGGCGGGCAGTCCTTGAACAGCGCCGCATCAGAAACGTATTTCCTGCTACCGTCCCACAAATCGCCATCCAATCCTCGATTTTCAAACTTTTTCAAGATGGCAGACCTCGATTTCAGGAAAGGGTATTTTTGGATCCAATCCGTGTCCGGCCTCTTCTCGTGCTTGAATTGGTAATAATTCCACAACCGGACCAGCTCGAGGTCGCACTTCACCAACTGCACCATTTCCGGCACGCTCAGCTTCCCCAGCTTCGCCAACGACAGGGAGCCGGCCTAGACCCAAACAACCTCGCAGGCAAGCACCTTCTTCAGAACGCGACACTTCTCATTGTCGGTGACTGTTTCCATCGCTTTCCAACAATGCGTGTCTGTCTCAAGCACTTGCACGAACCAATCACCCTCCTCTTTTTCCTTTTTGCCTTTCTTAGTCGGCGACTCCAACGGGACGTTGTAAACGACCTCCTTTCTGCCCAACTTGTCGTTGTCGATGTAGGCGACCCCCGACTTAACGTTTTTTACCTTCTTCTTCTTGACGATCCACTTTGCTCCGTCGTGGCCCAGCAACCTACCTGTCTCTCATTTTTTGAAAAATTCCACGGCCAGTTTCCATACATTCTCGCCGGCCATCGCCAGCGGGAAATAAGAACACAGGGCAACATTTTGCTTCTTAATGGCGTCCTCTCCCTTTTGATCCGTGAGAATCCACAAGTTGTTGTACGACGTCTTATGGAGCACCATTGTACAGAACTCACGCCATTTCCGGACCTGTTCTTGTTTCCCGCTAAGGTTCCCCATGACAGCTCTAGGGAAACTGTTATGCTTCCACTGCCACCGAATGTCTTCCATGGACAATTTCAACTGTCTAGGAGGTGCCTTGAGGTCCTTCTTGTTGTCCTGGGAACTAACAAGAAAATACCCTTCGAAGTCGTTGTCCGAAAAGTGCACCATTTGTGCCGGCCACCGCTCGAAATTGTACTTCTTGGCCACCTCGCTGCCGAGCACAGATCGGGCTGCAGCCTCGTTGTACCGCCCACACACTGCGTAGTAGTAGTATTGTCCTGCCAGCTCGTCCCTCCATTCCTCCAGCTTCAGACGTTGTGCCTTGTTCTCGAGAGTTGGTTTTTGCAGCCCCAACAGTGCCAACTTCAGGGTTGGCAACTCGTACGACTCTTCTTTGTTTTTGAATGCCAACCGCATCGCTTCTTTGATCCCTTCAACGAGGACAAGATCCAGGGACCGCTGGTTGTATAGATCCTCCCACTCCCCGTCGACGACCTGAGAAGGGCTAATCACTCCCGCTTCGTCTTGACGCTGTCTTTGTACTCCAGAAAGTACCCGGTGTCGACATCGATGGCAGGCCGTGGCCAGGAAGGTCCCGACGCAGGCTGCTTCTGTTTCGAAGCTGGACGTTTGGTGCCTGAGCGGTCATGTTCCCCTCCCGTTCCCTTCCGTTTCTCCCCCACACTCTTCGGGGCCTTGGTCTTCTGTTTCTTCGAAAAGCCGACAATGTCGTCTTGACGATCTCCCCTCCTCTTTTGCGGAGTGCATTGCGTTCCCTCTTCACCCACGGTCTCGTCCTCCGTGCCATGGCCCTCGGCAGTCTCCAAGTCGACCTCGCAGTGGAATGCCGCCTTTCCGGAAGCCGCAGTGACCTCCACTCGAATTGAAGCTGCTTACCGGACCCCAGGTATAGATAGCACGGACCGGTCTCTTCGAGTCAACAGCGAAGACATCGGTAGCGGTGTTGCCTCATCTTCACTGTCGTCAAATTGACCGCAGCTCTCCCCCCGCTGCAGCTGAGTAGCCACACCGGAACCCAGATCCTCCAATCCGGCGCAGCCCCGCTTGATTCACAATCGCCGCACATCTGCAAGGGCTTTGACAGCTCCTGGTCGGGGCCGACGTCGCAGGGGACGTCGAGGCCGATGCCCTTCTCCTCCAACAAGTTAAAAAATTCTCGAGCCAAAACAAACCTGCCCTGCCGAAGGAGGTCGTTGTAGAACGGTGTGTTCACAACACCCGCTCCGAACCCCTCAAACAAATCCATGTCCAGCAGCGCCCCCTTGGAATTAGCGACAACGTTGCCCTTCTCACCTTAAACATTTTTCATATAGAACCGTCGACGGCTGCCTTTCGCGTCTTCCCACCACAAGACGGCCCCCAACATTCTACGCCGTTTGTTGGCGTCAACGAAGATGACAGGACCACACAGTTGTTTAACGGGGTTCGAAGCATCTCCACAACACCAGTTGACGAACCATTTCGACCTTGTGTGGTCCGACCACGATTTTGAGGTCGTAGACGACGGTCTTGTGGAATATTTTTCTGATTCCTTCCCGGAGATCCCGACAAGCTCCCCCTCGCCCCTCGACGAAGACATCGTCTCTGTGGACGACAACGCAAATGAAGCAAACCGCCACGCTGTCAGGTTTGGGAAAACCAAAGCAGAAACACTCCAGTCACAGTTGAACCATAACGCAGGTGGTAACGAAGCATCACAAACACATACGGGAAACACTGTACTGCACACGTCGGCCTCATCACGTCTTTTCGAAAGCGAGAAGTTCGGATTACGCCGAACTTTGCACACGAAGCCCTTCAACAACCCACGTCGAACAACTCGAAAATTCTTTGCGAAGGGAACACACGTCATGCGACCATTCCTTGTGCGGGCCTCGACGCGGCTATCATTTGCACTAGTGCTAATTGCTGCCGGTGGAAATTACCGAAGTTCGTCGGGATCCGAACTTCGAATACTGCGGGAATGGTAGTGCGGCACATCAGAGTCACGAACACTTCTCAAAACAGATCCAGATCCAACAAGAAGACCAACCAAATTTGCCCCAGTTGCGATTGAGCATCTCGAAAGACTGCCAGAACAACTGATAACCTACGGGAACGAGAGGGGAATTTTCTTTGTTGAGTGCGAAACTCTGCTCAAAACATATCCAGATCCAACAAAAGGCCCACCAAACTCGCCCTAGTTGCTATTAAGCATCTTGAAAGACTACCCAAACAGCTGATAACCTGCGGGAACTAGAGGGGAATTCTGTTTGTGGAGTGCGAAACTCTGCTCAAAACAGATCCAGATCCAACAAGAAGGCCCACCAAACTCGCCCCTAAGAGTGCTTTTGGCAATTCGCAAAGACAACAAACGACTGTTTGGCACTTCTTGTAGGTGGTCGGGCGACAACCACATCGGGACTGAAGCTATTCTGCACACGGGTGTCTAAGCCAGTGTCGCAACGAGATTTTCTGGAGTTCGGATGGCGGCGGACTTAGATTGTGGGCATGTCGCACGGGAATCACTGGGTGGCCCTGTTCGTAGCAAGCACTGCCCCGGCACCGAAACCGAAGTCGAAATCCAACGTCGTCGGAGCGCATTGGCCGAGCTTGCGGCATGGACACGCCCCGCCGCGACAAGGGGTTTGTCGGCTGGGCGGTCTCGTGGCCTACAATTGGTTTTGAAGCATCTTGGCGTTATGCAAAGTGCGAACGCAGCAGGACTGCACGTCACCTGACGATGGTGCTCGTTGTGCAATGATTAACACACGAGGGTGCACCACACGCAACGCTATTCGATGTCAGGATTCGGGTGGACTTCGTCATGTGGCAGCACTGGCAGGACTATGGCGATTTCGTGTTGACATGGACCGCTAACCTCACAAACCCTTGGGTAGTTTTTTAAATACACTGGGCACCGAGAAGACCATAGTCAGATAAAAGGACAAGTGAAAACACGAAGTTCGCCGAAATCCGAACTTAAGGAGGGTTCGAGAGAGAGAGATAAAAAAGCCACAGTCAGATCAAATGATAGGTGCGATCGCGAAGTTCGTCGGGATCCGAACTTCACGAGGGCGCGAGAGAGAAAAAAATAAGATCCGTGCTTATATTGCTGTTCAAATCTACGAGGCACCAGGAAGACCACAGTCGGATCATAAGCCATGTGAAAACGCGAAGTGCGGTCGGATCCGAACTTAAGGAGGGTGCGCGAGAGAAAGATATAGAGAGAGAGACGGGACCTGTGGTTGTGTGGTTATTAAAATCCAGGAGGCACTAGGAGGACCACATTCACATCGGCGGTCGGACGAAAATGCGAAGTCCGCCGGCATCCGAACTTCAACTCGTGTCCAGTTTCGCCATATGTAAAGTTCGGCAGCAGATGCAGCCAACGTTTGGAGTTCGGATTCGGCCAAGCATATTCGGTCACTCCGTTTCGGCAATACGTCAAGTTCGGACGTGGGCGAACTTGGGTTGCTGTTTGAATCCACGGGGGACCCGGAAGGCCACGGCCAGATCAAATGATAGGTGGAAATGCGAAGTTCGCCGGGATCCGAACTTCACGAGGGTGCAAGAGAGAGAGAGAGAGAGGATCTGTGCTTGTGTTGCTGTTTAAATCCACGAGGCACCAGGAAGACCACTGTCGGATCAAAAGCAAGGTGAAAACGCGAAGTGCGCCCGGGTCCGAACTTAAGGACGGTGCACTAGAGAGAGATAAAGAGAGAGAGACGGGACCCGTGGTTGTGTCACTTGTGTGGTTGTTAAAATCCAGGAGGCACCAGGAGGACCACATTCACATCGGCGGTCGGATGAAAATGCGAAGTCCGCCGGCATCCGAACTTCAACTTGTGTCCAGTTCCGCCATATGTGAAGTTCGGCCGCAGATGCATCCAACGTTTGGAGGTCAAATTCGGCCAAGCATATCCGGTCGCTCCATTTCGGCAAAACGTCAAGTTCGGATGTGGGCGAACTTGGGTTGCAGTTTGAATCCACAGGGCACATGGAAGGCCACGGCCAGAGCAAATGATAGGTGGAAACGTGAAGTTCTCCGGGATCCGAACTTCACGAGGGTACGAGAGAGAGAGAGACAAGATTCGTGCTTGTGCTGCTGTTCAAATCCACGAGGCACCAAAAAACCCACAGTCGGATCAAAAGCCAGGTGAAAACGTGAAGTGTGCCCGGATCCGAACTTAAGGACGATGGGCGAGAGAGAGATAGAGAGAGAGAGAGACGGGACCCATGGTTGTGTGGTTGTTAAAATCCAGGAGGCACCAAGAGGACCACATTCACATCGGCGGTCGGACGAAAATGCGAAGTTCGCCGGCATCCGAACTTCAACTCGTGTCCAGTTCCGCCATATGTGAAGTTCGGCAGCAGATGTAGCCAACATTTGGAGGTCGGATTCGGCCAAGCATATTCGGTCGCTCCGTTTCGGCAAAACGTCAAGTTCGGATGTGGGCGAACTTGGGTTGCTGTTTGAATCCACGGAGCACCTGGAAGGCCACGACCAAGAGCAAATGATAGGTGGAAACGCGAAGTTCGCCGGGATCCGAACTTCACAAGGGTGCGAGAGAGAGAGAGAGACAGGATATGTGCTTGTGTTGCTGTTCACATCCACGAGGCACCAAAAAGCCCACAGTCGGATAAAAAACCAGGTGAAAACGCGAAGTGCGCCCGGATCCGAACTTAAGGAGGGTGGGCGACTATGAAACACCCGCAGACACGTCCGCGGGCCCGATCTCGGATGGCGGCCGCATATGCAGCCGCGTCCGCGGCCGTCCTGGTCCACGCCGCGGACCCGATTTTACCAGAATTTCCTGAATTAAATAATAGGTAAAAAAAAAAAAAAGGGGTTGTAGGGAATTTTAAGCCCTACAATCCCTTTTTTGTTTTTTGGAATCCGACTTTGTTTAGGATTTTAAAAAAATCAAAAACTAAATTGGATTTAAACTTTAAAGAAAATTAAAAATATATATATAGAAAGAAAAGCAGGATTTTTTTTTTGTCATTTTTAATCATGAGATATATGGTCCCTGAGTTGACCTGTATTTTTTTTAGAAATGAATTTATGTTTTTTGTAGGGGTATGAGGTGTTTTAAAAAAATGCAGATGAAGAATTTGAAAATAAAAAAAAAACAAAAAAGGGTTTTGATTGATTGATTGATTGATTGATTGATTGATTGATTGTGAGTGAGTGAGTGAGTGAGTGAGTGAGTGTGTGTGTGTGTGTGTGTGTGTGTGTGTGTGTGTGTGTGTGTGTGTGTGTGTGTGTGT